TTTTTTTTTAATCCTTTTTTTTTTTGCTCATGAGACCCCTCCCACCCTACCTCAACATCCGTCCTCACCGCAGCCCCCCGTTCCCCCATCTATGGATATACCGGGCAATACGCACAGGCACCCTCACCAGGCCGGACAACCCAGTCAGCCCTAGGTGAAGCACTAATCGGACGAGCACTGTTGCACGGACACTTCAGACTCCTGGCATGATCGTTGTATGCTGGCCGGAAATGGTGGCGCAGAACACTGCAAAGTGTGTGTGTGTGTGTGTGTGTGTCTGTGTGTGTGTGTGTGTGTGTGTTTTGTGTGTGTGTGTGCATGTGTGTGCATTGGGAGGGGTGGGGGGGCTGCATGTGCATGCATGCTACTCATAACATGTTTGTGTGTGCACGCGTGTGTATTATGCTATATGAGATGGGTCTTTCCAGGTCACGAGAATTGTGAGGGACATGCACCTGTATTTGATGCCCACAATGAACCCTGATGGATTTGCAGCCAAGAAACGAGAGAACGCCAATGGCATGGACTTGAACAGAGATTTCCCAGACCAGGTAAGCTTCCAAATTTTTGTTGTTGTGTCAAGAAGAAATGAATGTACCTGGTCAAATTTTAGTCACACGGGTACTTGTTCACAGGCTTCGTCAATGATTTGTTTTTCTCAAGTCATGAATGTTCTCGCCTCGACTCTTTGGTTCTGGTGTTTAAACAGCAGTCCCCCCCAGGCGTGGGGGCTTTTCGCCTCGTGGCTGGTGCCAGTGAACGAAAATTTGCATGCGCCAACTTCGACGATTTTTCGTGCTCATAATTTTGCGCGAAAAAATCAGGGTCGTAGGTTTGGTGCTGATCTTTCCAGGAAAATTATGAAAAGATTACTAAAGCTTGTAAAGATTCTAAAGAACGAAAAAAACATTCTCAGGCCTATGGGGAAGTCGGGGTGGGGGTCGGGGGGTCGAAGAGGGGAGGTCTATGGAGAAGTCGGGGTGGGGGCCAGGGGGGTGAAGGGGTGAGGTCTATGGAGGGACGTTTATAGCAAACCAGACAACACGCACTCACATTGATGTGGTGTATAGCAAACAAGACAACACACACTCACACCGACGTGGTGTATAGCAAACAAGACAACGTGCACTCAGACAGGCGCCTGCACACCCAAGCAAGCACACACACAAACACACACACACACGCACACAAGCAGGCAACTGCGTCATGGGCAGACTGTCGGGGTTCAACCTCCCGACGAGCCGGTGAAAGTCTGACGAAACAGTCTGGCACAGTCATGCTTTTTTTGTGGGGTTGTGTTCAGCGAACATGACAACACACACGCACAAGCACACACACACACACACCCACACACACACATACACACACGCACACAAACACAACGCTTAGAGTGGGTAAACACAATTTGTCATACAAAGTGAAAGACCAGGTTGCCACCGCATACTTCGGACGATGTTGTGGCCAGCCCGTGATCGAAGCTTGAATTCGGCAGCATCCAGAACTCAACAACAACAAAAAAAACACACTGCGAATGAAATCAATGAAAGTGGGAAGCTGAAAGATCACTGTGAAAAAGAAAGTGCTCTTACGTTCTGTGCTTCGCAAACACGTCTAGTTCCTAATTTTACCCGCACCTCACGTTCGCTACTAACTGATGGAAATTTTAATACCACTTTTTTTTATCCTGCAGGGGGAGGAGATCCTGTTTTATGTCAGCATCTGATTTTTTTTACTTTTATTTTTCTGTGTGTGTGTGTGTGTGTGTGTGTGTGTGTGTGTGTGTGTGTGTGTGTGTG